AACATCATTCACTTCTAATTCAACTCTTCCGCCAGAACTCTTATTATCATTAATCTTTTTCATTAATTCGGTAATTACGTCATAAAGACTATATTCTGTTTTCGGTTTTGTAAATAATGAGTCAAAATTTCTTTTCATCATTACATCGCTGACATTAATGATATCACCAATTCCTTTTTCATTTATTCTCTTCATTAATTCTGCAATAATGACGAATATATAATCTGTTAATTTATTCTCTTCATCGAGGGTTATAGAATGTTTTGAAATTGAATCATTAACTCCTCTAAATAAATCAATAACTTCAGGATACACGTTTTTAATGTCTTGAATAACCCGACCAGTATCCTCGCCACTATGTGGCTCTGAGCCCGTTGGGCTCTGTTGTTCATGTTCTTCGTTCCCGTCGTTACGTGGTTTTATATCTCTAACCATCATCAACGCAGCCATAACCGGAGGGTTTGTTGCTACCTGTTCGAAAATCCGTCCGTTATGTATGGTATATCTAAATAATTTCTTTGTGTTTGTTAAAACATTTGAAACAAGTCTTTTAAAACCATCTACAAAATTTCCTGTTTCACCTAATGTTCTTGCAGCATTTACAAGCTCACCCATTCCCGCTTTTGACCCCAAAAACGTCCATATTGCATTTATTTCACTCTGTATAGTTGTCCATTCAGCGAAACTAACACCCGCATTCGCTAAGCTGAAAATGAAATTCAGTGGATCGAACTTAATTCCACCTTCTTTTTCAATTTCAACGAACTCACTAACATGAGATTTTAAATATTCTTTCGTTAAAATTGTTTTCCCCGATGTTATGTCATTAACGAAACTATCACCGTCAAAAGTTAACGAATTCAATTTCGTCGTTGATGCTTTTATTTCATACACCGCTTTATCGATAGTTTTTGGCTCACCTTCTTTAGAAGCATATGAAACATTAATGAATGAATTATATGTATTCGTGAATGAATTAAAATCAATGATTTTCATTAATGACGCCTTTAATGATTCATTAACTGTTGAATCCCTTAAAACAATTAATGAACTGTCATGGGCTTCGCCCTGGTCGCTTCGGTCTGAAAGACCTTCAGGACTCAAAGAGTCCGTTTGCGACTTTATGAAAGGTACACTGCAAACCGTCGAGTTTGGATCAAATGCTGTAGTTGGTGCAGGAATATTAATGATATAAGTCATTAAATCATTAAGTGACGTAAATAATGTTGTCGTTTTTGATTTAATTTCTTTAGCATCTGTTATATATGGTAATTTTATTTCTGTAGTTTCTGAATTAAAGATATTCGCTAAAATGTTTTGTAAACTGTTTTGAACAGCTGTGTAAACCGTTGAATTCGGAACTCTTACGATTTCACCATCCTTAATAAAAGGCATTGTACATGACGTAGTGCTTGGGTCAAATCTTTCGGGATTATAATTCAACATATATTCTAACGCTTCATATACAGACCTATAAACAGTTGTGTCGTTCTTCATGACAACTTCACCATTTACAATGAATGGCATAGTGCATGGAGTTAAAATAGGGTCAAACTTTTCATAGTCCTTCCATGTTATGTATTTCTCGGTATTTCCATCAGAAATAACAATATATTTGTCAGTAAGTGTGAGAGAGTATTGACCAAAATATAAACGTTTAGCTCTGTCAGCTTCATACGCATATGCAGCAATACTCATATTTTAATGAGAATAAAATGTTGTTCTATTTGCAAAGTACAGACCCAAACGAATACGGGACAGTAAAGCTACAAACAAACTTAGGTCTTCAGAATGAAGCGCTTGCTTTCAGAGTTGTTGACTTCAATACTATCGCTTCATTCGTTATAACAGATGAAACAGATTTCATGGAGCTTGAAATAGATGGAAAGAAGCACGAAATAAGATTTCACAATAATGTAGAATATAAGATGGAAACATTAGCTGGAGTGTTAAATGCGCTCATAAATACTACAATAAACAAGGAGAACGAAGAAAACTTAATGAATGTTAAACTTATTGCAGGAGTTTTGAAGTTCAGTTATGCGAAGGAGTTTAAGATAACACGAATGAGTCATAGAGTTCAATTGCTTCTGGGAGCATACCATATGACATGTCCTTTGAAAAGTGTTGACAAAACGATTGAGATGAAATCTGTTCCATACGTATGTTATGGTAATTGTTTATACGTTGAGTCAAAAATAGCTAATGTCACAGGTATTTCAGGAGTTAATAGTAAAGGTTCAGTAGAATATAAATCCTTCTGTTATGCAGTCAATTCAATGTTCATTCCAAACGTTCCTGTCATAGTAACTCATTTAGGTAAATGGGTTCGCATTAGTCCTCATAATTTGAAAGACATGCAATTCAGACTTGTTGACTTTCAAGGAGAGCCTGTAGAACTGAAGGCACCAGTGCGAATGACTGTTGAAGTTGACTTTTTAGAAAATATTAAATGCAACAGCTTACAAGAGAACTCAGAGCTAAAAATATAAAGTATGAATGTTATGTATTAGGTCATGAACTTTGGTTATTGCTGTTTGATGAAACAAATGAGTTAGTTATGTCAGTCAAGAGAACAGAAAAAGGCGTCAAAGGCGCCGAGCGCAAAGCGCTATATTGTGTTAGTGAAAACTGCACCAAGTCAATAAGATTAGGTTTGCATTATGAAGATGAGTTCGATACTGTTGAAGAAGTTTTGGATAGATATTACAAATTGCTTTAATTTACTAAAACATATTTCAAACAAAGCTTATATTCTGTTGAAAGTTTTGTATACTCGTTCGAATATTTATACTTAAACTCAACTCCTGTAGTTCCTGGTGTTTCAATGATGCGGATGTTACCTATTTTCATGAATGGTGGCGTTTGACCACAGCATTCGATTTCAGGGTCGAGATAGTCAATGACACATTGTTTCCCTGTTATTCGTGATATAACATTTTCAAGGTCCTCCTTTGTTAGAATTATTTGGTTCTTGCTTATAAGATTTGTCAAAAGCTTCTTATCGTCTTTGAGTAAAATTGTTTGGTATAACTGAAGAAGGTAATGGTCTACGTTATCTGAAGGATTTGTTTGAACATTTGTGTAAGGGTTGTCGTTGGCTTCTCTTGAAAGAATTTGGTCCAGTGGTGGATACTCTAACTTAACATCTGATGTAGCGTTAGCGTTTGAAGCTGAGTTTAAATTCACGGATTTCAGTTCTGGTTCTTTTTCTTTCAAACACTCTGAACTATAGTTCTTTATGACAATATTGTTTGTCGTTCGTGAGTCAACATTTGATGTTGGTTCAATTGGAACATTAACGGCACCAGCTAAGATGGATTTGCTTCTCATTTCATATAGAATAAAAACCTTTTATATGTATGAAATGAACAATATACTCGACAAGGGTTTGAATGTAAAGCTAACGAATGAAAATATTGTTGAATTCACTGAGACAGGTGCTGTGTATAAAGATGTAGAACTACTGAACAAAAGAGCTAAGGGAAGAAGCAGGAACATGAACAAAGGGTGGAAGCCTATAAAAATTTATGTCAATGATGGCTCAGGAGGTTCAAACATAAAGTATGCAGAAAGTTATAGAGTTTATGCTCTCAAAGGTGAAAAGCCTTCATTTAAGAACAGCTATTCTAACGCATATCCTCAAAAGCTAACGGATGGGAAGTGGATGATATGAATGACAGCAAAAATATTAACAGAAATGGCGACAGAGATGCATGGAATTTGTTTACCATCAGTCAATTGAAGGTTAAACTTTAAAACAATGTTGGTCGTTCCCATGGAATATTTTTGACTTTAATGGTATTAGTCATGATATGAATCTCAAGGTATGAACGAGGAGAGATGAGAGACTTATATGCTTCCCAAATTTCTTCAAAAGGTAATGTTATACCTGACTGTTTCCAAATGAGTTCAATATCATAACGTGAGAAACCTTGAAAGATAACGAAGTCAGTTATGAGACGTTTTATGTTTAAAGCAAGAAAACGCCATGTTTGCATAAGTATTGCTACAGTTAAGTGGTAATGTCTGACTTTAGTAATGATGTTAGCTAATGGTGAGTCAGGCTTTGACACTAAACCTTTTCCGGCGAAGTCGTCGCAAACGAGCAGAGTTTGAAGGATACTTTTTGAAGGGGTATTTTGAAAGTTTTGACAGAATGTAGTTTGTAAGTCGTTTCATATCGTAAACTCCTGAGTATTGACGTAAGTGGTGTTTGTCAATAATTCTTTCCATCTCTTCTGAAGTCTTTTGCATTCCTGACTGTATAAATTCAACGATGGCATAATATTTCCTCTTACGTCGAACGTAACGTTGAAGAAATTCAATGAGTTCGCTATCTGGAACTTTAACGACAGATGCTTGAACTTTTGACATAAATGTTTTCGCTGTTGAGTCCATAGAGTCTGAAGTTGCTGATATAATGATTTGGTCATAATATGAATCTTGACCTAAACGCTCTGTTATGAGTATATGACGAATGAGGTTAAATGTCTTACCTGAACCCATCTTTCCACAATAGAAATAACACCATTTGAACAGAACTCATAATCTTGCTGAAAGGAAGAATGAGAGAAGAGTTAAGTTTGTCTGTAGTTTCATTCATGTCTTCATCTACGTCATGTATTAAATGCTTCATTTTATCTCCATTAAAAATGCAAGTCAGAAATATTCAGAACATAGCACCGAGTCTAACTGACAAGAGTATAAAGATATACTATGAACACGTTATGATGAAACCAACCAAAATTCAAGAAAGTCAGTATACTTATGAATATCCAAGACACTGGGTAGAGTATGTAGGAGGTGAGAAAGCTATTGAAATCAGACAGGTTCGAAGTATTCCAGCAGGAAGGACAATATTATTGAAGAACTTTAATGTTTTGAGGTATAATGATGAAACAAAGAAGCAAGATAGTTTTCCCATTGCTGTGTATGTGAACCTAGACACAGGAGATGACATGAAAGTTTTTAACACAAAGCTTCAAACGGTAGTGAGAGAACAACTGACTGCGGAAGGGCATCCATTACCTTCAGAAGTTACCATAGCATATAATTTTGAAACAAACTCAATAGATTTTAAAGTCATCTCTGCAAAGAAGTCAGGTTTTACATTTAATGAAGCAGATGTATATTCGAATGAAAACTTCAAAGCTATTGCATGGTTAGATAATGACGATTGCTTTAAGAAAATATTTAAATTCAGTGACTCAACGATGTCAATAGATGACCTTCGTGGAATGTTACCATCGACGTTTACAGTAGAAGGTTCAGCAGGATTGCTTACAAGATTGTCAATTGGTGGTATTTGGTCTCGTGAGAACATTGTTATAAAATCCAGTATAAGTGAATTTGCTGAAGAATCTATATTATGTCTTTCAAACTACATGTATTCGCCGCCGAAGCATTATAGTATAACAAACTTTGTCAGTAAGTTTAACATAAGACTTGTCGAACCTTCTTCAATGAAAGATGTTGTGCTACCTAAAGATGGAAAGGATGGACTCATTATTGAGATGATTTTAATTGCATATTAAATGAGCTTGTTCTTGAAGGTCAGTCATGATGAAATAACTGTTGTAGAAGATGTTAGCAATTGTTCAGACATTTTGAAGCGATAGATGATATAAGAAAGAAGTTAGATAGACCGCAAAGCGGTGAGGGCGAAGCCCGTGAGAATGTTTATGTTTCATTGACTTTCTCCAGTAACGAGAACTTTTATGAGATAATATTGAAGAGAGATGATTTTAATATGGTGTAAATGGTAGCTTGGGCAGCTTTAGGCGCAATGGGAACAAAAGCATTAGCATTTGGAGCAAAAGCACTTGGGGCTTATGACGCAGTAAATAAAATGAGTGGAGGAAGAGTTTCGAAGACATTAGATGCAAATAAAGGAAAGATTGGAGGCTGGGTTGCAAAGAAGTTAAGATTAAATAAAATAGGGCTCATAAATAAAGCATCCAATTTGGTTGCGACTGAGTCAGAAAATGCTTTAGGAAAGGACGATGAGTTTGCAAAACATGCAAAAGACTTTAATGACCAGATGAAAGGTGAAACAATGCATTTAAATAGAGTCGATGGAACTCTTCCTCCACCAGCAGTTTTCCGTATGGTCCCTATGGAATGTATGGAAACCCTTACGAAAGACCATTTGACCCATTGACTGGTGGTAACTGGTATCATACGGACGAAGAAGAAAGACAGTCAAGTTGGAGACAGACGTGAAGAAAGCAACTAAAAAGAAACCAAGGAAGAGAGTTATAAAGTAATGAATTCAAGTGGGTGAAAAACAGGTGAAAAAAGAGGTGAGATTTCACCACTTCACCTAAATTTATTTTGTGCTATGTTTTCATACGTGTGCGGGTGGTGATATCATTTATTTTTTATTTTATTTTTTAAGTTTATTTGGATGTAATGACAGAACAAAAATAAAGCATATCTACTCAGCAGGAATGAGACCCTTACTGACTATGTATTCGTTTAATGCTTGATGAAAACAATGGTACATATTATCGTATGGGTATACACAACGTCTGTTTCCATCGTCGTCGTATATGTAGAGCTCAAATCCAGTCCAACCTTCTTTTGTACAATATGTAGCTTTATTTAAGTATGCATTTATGTAGATAAGGCAATTTTCTTCATCGCTCCAGAAATAATTTTTGTTCTTTGTTGAAATAGTTTTCGTTCCTCTGCGACCATAAGGAATGTATGCAATGAACTTTGCGTCATATGGGATTGTAATATATTCGGGGTTTCTTTCATCGTCAATGGGTCTATCTTTGTTAAAATGCATGTTTCTCAGTTTTACTTGAGTTTTGAATAGTTCACGGAAACGTTCTGGGAAAGAGTCATAGTAAATGTAGTCGGACATGTCTTTGTAATGAAATAAAAAAATTAAAAAAATAAAAATAAGGTTATTTTTATTTAGTGAGGATGGTAGTGAATTCATTAGTGAAGTCATTAGTGAAGTCGTTTATATGTCAGATGGTTTTGTAAATATTTAAGGTTAAGTTGGTGTTATGGTTGTGTTGTAAAATATACGTTACCGGTTTCGTAAAGTGTCAAAACCGCTAAGTGGTGTACGGAGGCGCGCAGTGCCACAGTACACGACTTAGGGATACTAACTAATAAAAATGTTTTTACCCGAAAAGTGACAGAAAAGTGACAAAACATGAAAACATATATAATTTGTGAAAAGTGACATAAAAGTGACATTTAAAAAAGTGACACCATTAATATGATGTAAATAACAACGGTTTTGGTTTTGTCACCGGCTGGTCGGCTGGGGTTCGGTCCTCCTCTTGGGTCTTGGGCAAAATTTCTTATGGGCTAGAGGGCGCAACGCGCCTGGAAGCCCCGCCTACCTGACCTTATTTTTAAAAAAATTTTATTTTTTGGTTGCTTTGTAAAAAATTTGACTAGCCAAAACTCACTTCACTGAAATAAATAAATAATAATAATAAAAAGTTTACACCATCTTTGTTATTAATTTCCAATTTAAAAGAATATCTAAAATTAATAGAGAATGTTTCTAGAAAATAATTCAAATACTATTTATAATTAAACAATAATGCCCAAACAATAGCATTATTTCCATCACTGTCTGTTATATTGACGTCATGTGAAATAAGAAATTGTTCCATTTCTATAAGATTCAATAACGCGGTATAAAATCTATGCAGCCTCGATCTTTCGTTTTGTCATTTATATTTGCACCATGCAAAAATAGAGTTTCAACAACTTTTTTATTATTAAATAAGGCTCCAAACTGAAGTGGTGTGAGATTATTTTGAGTAGTAAAGTTAATCTCAGCCCCATGCGAAACAAGTAACTTCAATAATTCTGTATTGTTCTTATTCAAGGCAATATTTAATGCAGATCCAAATTTTTCATTTTTCACATTAATATCGATTCCTTTCAAAGCTAGATATTCTGAAACATCTGTTTTATTTTCCAAAGCTGCAGCAATAAGAGCTATTTCATCATCTAGTTTTTTGAAGTTATAATTTGCACTATGCTAATGCAAATATTTACAAAGAGATGGAATACAAAAAAACAGGAGAAAATGCAAATCACGAGTTGATATCATAAATAAAGCATGAAGGTTATTGTGCTGAGCACTCATACCTGGCATAATACTTATATTTTATTCATTCATCAATTTAAAAACATTATGGCAGCTGCCAATGTGGATATATCCTGTTTTTGTTCTTTCAAACAATAATTTATGATTAATTGATTGTTACAGTTTTTGGTAATATTCACATCAACTTGAAGCATGCTTCTTTGCTATATTTCACAAACTAGGTTTATATATATTAGGAATTTTCAATTTCAGATCAAATGAACATAATATATGGCCATTATCAGCAAGTAGCATGCTGCTTTATATTACTATATTCAAGTATCATCGAGCTTAAATTAAATTTTTTCTTAAATATAAAAGTAACAAATAAAATTTCATCTGCAATGACTAGAATATAGAATGTGTGGCAATAGACTAGACTAAATATTCATGGACAGCATCATTTATTTGTGATTGAAAAAGTTTCGGCAAAATTAGTAAAACAATCGATAAAATGTTATAGATTTATGCATATTGTTACATTACTATAGATACTATATATCTAAATTAGCTAGAATTTGTATTTTTGACAAAATTGTATTCAATAATTATGGATTGGGGTGGCTTCGAAGCCCCGCTTGGCGATGGATATTTTTTGTACATACAAGTGCTGCCAAATCCGTAACTTTGAAAATTTTGAAAATTTTTAGTCAAACTCGAGACATTTTCACCACATATTTTTAAAATGAGAAAATCAAAAATTGATACCATAAATTGCTTTTTTCAAATTCATCTAGTGGATTTGAGATTCACCTATCATATATGTATAGACTATTATGAAGCAACACTATCATAGTGTGTGATGTGCAAGGAATAATATCAATCATGTAGGCATATACAGTGTCTCGAAGTGAAAGAAAATTGAGAGGAGTTAGGTGGTCGGTCAGAACCCTTAAAAGTTTTGAATATTGGTAATTTTATCAAAAATGTAACTTTAGAGGATTTCTCGTTCATGTAATTTCTTTGTAAATAACTTAACGTCTGAAATTCACTTCATTTACTTGAATTTCAATGAACTCAGAAATTTCATGAATTGTTTTATAGCAATGAATTTCTCATTTATCCTCCTTCTTTTTTTCATGCATTCATTCTATATCTATTCATGGATCATAAGACCCATCAAAATAAGTCTGTATCAAGAGGTACTAGACAATAATTTAACAAATTCCACTTGGTTTTATAAAATTCCATACAATTCCATTCAGCTATTTGTCGACAGAATCCCAGAATCCCAATTAAATAGATCACTAGGCTATTACACATCATTTAAAGATTCTATCTTTGCTCCACATGAAATTTTTTTAAGATCTTCAGTATATCTTGTTGAATATAGATATGTTTTTCTTACAAAAGCATTTACAACATTTGATACAGGCGCAATTTTAACTTTTGAAAATGATCACAAATTCAGTTATTATCATTTAAAAACTGTAGGCAGATATAAATTTGGGGTTCAATATGTACAATTTTATTTTCATTTTGGCCATCTCATTCATGATTTCCTCTGTGCTTTGATGTACGTACCTAAATTCTATTATGATGTTGGATTTGTTGTAGTAGCACCACCATCAGGGAAGCATTTAGCAGATAAGTATCTCAGATATTTAGGTTTAAGTAAGAGTGTCACTGTTTTAAATTTTAATCCTGAAAAAGAACAAGTTTTTGTTGAGAGATTATTAGTTGTTACTTCACTCCATTATGGAAATGGATATTGCGTAGGCGGACTGCAAAGACTAAGGCAGTTATTCTATAAACGATTTAATGTCAGAGGAATTACTCCACATACATTTTCTATTATTAACAGACCTGACAAAAAACGAAGAATTAATAATATTGAAGAACTTTATAATAACTTAACTTTGCATGTGCCTACTGATCCTGGAGAAAAATGGACTATAGAACCAATGAACCCTGATGATTTTGCTGATACTGTGAAAAGATGGACAAGAATTAAATGCTTAGTTGCTCCAGGAGGTTCATTTTTATTTAATGCTATCGTCATGCAGCCTCGCACTGGAATATTAGTAATGCTAGGTGATATGAGAGATCTTCCTAATGTCAATCTCTGTTCTTCACGGAATATTTCTGTTGTTCAAGTTACCCATAGATACATGGGCCACGATAATTTTGACCCAACTATTAAGTGCAATGTTACACTGATGGTTTCTGGCTGTAAAGCTCTTTTACAAGTAATTAGGACCGGCGTATCTAATGTTCCTGAATTCGTTCCTTTTCAATTTAAACGATATCCTGACATATTAAAGAAAGAATTGATGTTCCTTAATGGATCTGGACGACCAATACTGGATGAGCCACTGAATTTCGCATGATTTTTTCTCCTCTAACATGTTCCCTCTCCATGAAAAAATGCATCCTAACTCAACAAAACTCTGTTGGAAAGGATATCTTTACTCATTTCGTCGCAATTTGTCTTCCTATGACTTCTTTGTTTGTAAAAGACACCTCTCCAATTCGACCAATCTGAGGTTGAAATACCTATTACTTGTGGAACGCATGGAGAGGACGAGAGGCGAGTTCATTAAACTCCTTTCTCATGCACCAGCAAGTTTGAAATTGAAGGAATTTTAGAACACATTGAGAATGAATAGGTTTTCAAAATTATAGATAGAGAAAAATAATAGAGCTGTTTTGTAATTTAAAAGATAATATATGAAAGCAATATTTTTAATAACAAAAAAATTATGAACCTTCGATATCATTGCAAAATGCCATGTAGTTCATATCATCAAGATCAGTGCATCTGTACTTCTTGCAAAGGATGTCGTATTCTCTTGGACTTGTAGACAAACCTAATCTAGCAATGCACTGCTTGAACTGTTGTTTCGTGATGTAGTTCTTTCTTGGCATTCTGTCGTAATCAGTGAATTGTTCCTGGATGTTCATTCTCTTTGTTACAACATCGTTGTGCATTCTCTTAATGATCTCATTCAACTGTCTCTCTTGTTCGATGTCTAAGACTTGCAATGTCTTTGATGGATCAGGTAGAGAATCAACTTTCTTGTCGTTTTCAGGTGTTGGAGCTTTGTTTAATTCCGTTGGTCCAAAGATTTGATTTATTTCTTTGCAGAATGACCTGTAATCAAACATATTAGATTGTCCAGGAGGAGTAAATCTGAATCCAACTAAATCCATTTGTTTGGCAGTTAAAGGCAATCCAGTTTGTCCAACAACAGAATTAAATTTCTGTTGAGTAACAATGCCGCGATTCAATGGATCGAATGCTTTGAAGAAATCATTCAATCTGATCTGGCGCTTGTAAATATATGTCTGCAAACTCTTTAATATGCAGTTGTAGTCATCAGAAGGAACAGTTGATTTCGCTGAAACTAAGTATGGAGATTCTTCTTTTGAGTACTGAGGAATCTGGTTGATAACAATGGAATTGGATGCTGTATCTCCAAAGATTTGGCCTGTTCTCTGTTCGACATCTTGGCAGAATCGAACGTAATCAACGAAATTAGTGTTTGGATCATTATAAAAAGTGCACAAAGTATCGATTTCGTTCTTGGAAATGTGAACACCAATTAACTGAATGACTTGTGCGAATCCTGTTGCTGATGTTCGCTTGTGATTGAGTCTGTCTTTATCTTTGAATTGTTCAATAAGAGAAAGACGTCTTGAACGAACAAAGTTTGCAACGTTTTTGAGGATTTCTTCGACATTTGATGTCATGTCTTTTTCTGGCCTCAAAACTAATGATCTCGTCTGGTATTTCTCTGCAGGAACAGCTGGTGTAACTGTAGGAGTCTTCTCTAAATCCAATGGAGCAATGGCTTCTTTGATATCGTTGCAGAATTTGCGCCAACAAACAAATCCTTGTCTCGTATCTGATGAATATGAATCTACAATGAGATCAAACTCATCTTCGGTGACTTTGTAGGTAGACAAAGATAATCCGGATCTGAACTGTGAAGCGGGGATTTCGCCACAGTTCAATTTGTCGAAATCAGTGAAGAAATCACTAAATTGTACTGAATTTACAATTGCCCACTGTTTCATGGCGAACATCAGCGAGGAAATGTCCTTGTGCTCATCGATCTTCTTGATGAGACCACGTTTGGACTTGTAAATCAGTTCGTCGGCTTTGTCTGGTGTAATGAATAAATCTCCGGTTGGAGTATGACCGTAAACATCCATAATTGACTGCTTGTCTGTACCCAATGGCTTGTAGACACGACGGGACTGGGAATGGCTGGGATCAACATCTTCAACGAACTTGAAATAATCTAATCCTTCATCAGATCCGTAGAAACGAGCGATTTCAGCAAGTTCTGTAGTAGTAATGTTGATCTTAAGTGTTGAAAGAGCGCGATGGAATTGAGGTTCTGTGATAAATCCGCGTTTTTGACGGTCGAAATTCTGAAATGTTGGAAGAACATTGATTCTGAAGCGAATTACTGTATGTCTGACGTTATCTAAGATACGCTTGAGCTCTTGCGATGGTTCAGATGTGACAGCGAGTGTCTGAACTGAAGATGTGAGTGTTGCATTTTCAGCATCTTCGACATCCTTGCAGAACTCGCGATATCTGACGTATTCTGTTGATGCTTGTACTTCTCTGTACTTCTCGCTGAGGTAGTTGATCTCTTCCGCGGTCCATGAGAAGCCTAATACTGTAATTGTTCCTTCGAACTTGGAACGAGTAATAAGGCCTTGGTTAAGTGGATCGTGAGCGGAAAAGAAGTCGTAAATACGGATTCTTTGTTCACGAACAACTCTTGCGAATCTTGTAATGCAATCCAAGACTGTTCCTGCTGGTTTCTTTGAATTTACAGATAGGCTGAGCAACTGGTGCGGTAAGAGGCCTTTATTAACCATATCCGTAACAGCATTTGATTTATAAGCTTCGAGAGCTTGATTTACATCAAGATGAAGCTTACGGTAATTGACATCCTTAGCAGATGGATCTGTATATGTTTTGACCAGAAGATTCAACTCTGCTGTGCTGAGATCTGTAAATGGCATTGCACGAAGGAATTGGGATTGTGTAACGCGTCCATTGTTATGAGGATCGAAATCCATGTAAGCTTCTCTGATGTGAATTGCTCTTGTACGAACTTGATAGGCTAATTTGGAAAGAAGTGCTACCATTTCGTTATCAAGGTTTTGAATATTAGTCTTAAGAGTCTTAGCAACAATTTCGCGTGAATTCTTTAATGTTCCGTGGGGTTCATGTTCCAAATTTAAGTTTGTAAAGATATCATGGATTTCATCTAAGAAATGCCTGTAATTCACTTGTCCATTTTCAGCATAATGATTTGCAAGAGCGTCATACTCTTCTTGTGTAAGCTGAATTTTAATATTATTAAGAACACGAATAAATTGTTGTGCAGTAACTCTTCCGCTTCTAAGCTTATCGAAATCTAAAAACCATTCTTCAGGACGATCTCCATTAAGATAAATATGTGTCCTGATACGGTCGAGAAGAGGCTCAAGATCTTCCGACATTCAACTAAAATTAACGTGCACTTTTTTCTGAGAAAAACGATTATCGTTAAATGGCCAAATAATAACTATCGTTGTAAAGAAAACTATCACGACAATAAATAACAATGGAGACTTTTCATTCGACATTTTAAATTAAGTTTTCCTTAGCCATTTATTCACCCTGTATTTGCCAAACGAAATCATGAATAATAAAATTTTTAAAATAATATTTCGTTATAAGCAATATGGAACTTGGACATAGCTAGAATACTTACATTTTTACTATATCTTGAATTAAAGCATGACATTTCCATTAACACACATTTTGATTGTTTCAATTTCTTCAATAAATCAAATATTAGTAAGCGTTAATAATTTTATCTCATATTTTACATCAAGTACTTTTAACTTCTCACATTAAATTAAGCTGATTCGATATTCATGATATAAATAGAATAAAAAAAAGTAAATTTTCAATAGATTTTATGAGTGAATCACCTGTGAAACGACATAGGATTTCAAAAACCACGAGTGAAACAGGTGAGACTCATCGAAAACGTGTAAAGAAGTCATCCAGTACTGAGAAAACTAAAAATCGAGAAGTTCTTCGCAATAAATGGAAATTATTAATTGCCAAGAAAGTTAGAAAAGCGAGAATTCGAAACGTATCAGATATAGAAAAGTATAACAGATCGTATATTCATTTCTATAAATCGAAAACAAAGATGGCATTCAAAAAATGGAAATTAAAATTCGAATGGAGACAATTATTACACGAAATACTCTTCAAATATCGAATAGATAACATCCATAAAGAAGCTGAGAAGACTTCTATTGATTCATGGGAAAGATTTTACATCGAATTACAACGTGAAATCAAAACACAAAATATCATTGCTGCATTTAATGAAAGAGACAATGAAAATCTCCTCGAGAAGTGTTTCTCTACATGGAAGAACAAAATATTTTTTGTTAACGATCTTCATAAATATTATCGCGAGAAATGGTTCACATTACTTGAAGGATTGATTGATATTGACAAAGAAGAAAGACAAAAACTTTGTTTACAAGCAATTAATTACTACGAAAATTGGAAATATTTTTCACAGCAATTACTTCACAATTCTTACATACAATCTCTTACGAATGCTAAGAATACAGTTGACCTTCTTCACAACTGGAATTATTTCGCACTTCAGCTTAAATTAAATCAAATCAAATTAATCCACGAATCCGACAAGAATCGTTGTTTATTACGTTCCAAATGGATCAGTATCAGTAATGAAATGAAATACAGAAACCAAATTGAAGTTCTGGAGTATCAACGCAATGAATTAAACAAATCTTTGAAGATTTACGTTTTAATTGACAAAATTGTTAAACAAACAAGAACAAAGGCATTCTTAGAAGCAAGAAAAGAACTTACAGATAAAACACGTCGTACTTTACTTACGAAATCAATCAGAAAATGGCACATCGAAACAGCATCAAACAGAAAAGTTACACAAATATCAAGGAAGTGTTTCCAAGACTCTTTGAGCGATTACATGGTTGGCGTTGGTTCCAGGAATGCAACAAAGATCAAGAAATGGTACAAATCAGTTAATGAAAAGCGGAAATTAAACAAGTCATTGCTTTCAAAATGTTTTATTATGTGGCACAAGTTTATTCCAAGATTTATGGATACTATTTTTGTTACTCCAATGTTAAATGCATCATTGAAGATCCCTGAAGTATTCTCAACAAAGATAATGCCAATTAAGATTCCAAACAACATTTCTGTCTGCAAAGACATTGTTTCTTTCAGATTGAAGACAAGAGTTTATGAAAATAATTCATTTTTGAATCAAAACAGAAAAGAAGTTGAAAAGAGATTTGACGAAGCATTAAAGAAAGATGGACTTAATGTCATTGATAGATTTATTCCTGATGATGTTGCTCAGATTGTTTCAGGAATCATGAAAGGTTTTGATTTCCATTATCCAACAGAAACTGATGAAACAAAGCCAAAGAATTTCGATTTGACAGAAGAATTCATCAAAGTTCTTGATAATTCCGACTTCTTCAGTGACATATTCACTCAGTTTAGTCCAAGGAACAGACAAGAGTTGAAACAAGAATACGAAAACAGTGGAAGTTTTTCAGATGACAAATATGTTTTCGAATATCCTCCTGATGCATCGTTTTCAAAGAGAGAAGATGATGCGACAGAGTTAAAGACCAGCAAAGTTAATCTTGACGAATTATCTTCTTCAATGGATTTGAGTGATCAGGATGATATTGGACTTGATACTCAAAAATTGAATCTTATAAATCCATCCAATTTTGTAATTGAAGAAAGAAGCTCAAGTATCATCACAGACATGGCAAGTGACAGTGAAGAAGAAGATAAGTTTGATATCAAAGATTTGACTTTTGAAACAGAAAAACAAGAAGATGAAGATAAAGATGAAATGAAGAAATTGATCGATGAAATGACAACAGAAACACCAACACAAGAAACAAACGAAGATAACACAATCCACAACGACGAAGAAGAGGCTGATTCCAATCAACAAACTTTAGATTTCAATGAAACAGTTGATAAAGTTCAACAACCAGATGAAACAGTTCCGGAAACTATTGATAATCAAGAAGAAGAGGATCAAACAATTGATAATGATAAGGAACAAAATCAGACAATTCCAGAATCTTCCAATTCTTCGCAAAATAAAATTGAAGAAGAAGAGGATGAAGAAGACAATTTTGATCTTGATTTATCATATCATTTAGAAGATGATAAAGATCTTTTGATGAATAATATCGAAGAAGAAATTGATGAATCTATTCCACAAACAATTGATTCAACAAAAGATGAAGAAATCCCACAAACAATCGACAATGAAAATGTTGAAGAAGAAGAACATCAATTTATTCAACAAAAACAAGTAAATCAAGAAGAGGAAGATGCAATCATTGACAATGTTGATGAATATTCCGATGAAGAGAATGGAAATCTACCAATGTCGAGAAATATCAAACCTATTTACAATGAAGAAGAAGAAAAACCTGAACAGAAAAATATTAAATCTGAAGAAGAAGATTTTGTTATCGATGATAATGAAAATCATCAAGATAATGAAATTGAAGAAGAGGAAGAAGACTTTGTAATTGATGAAGAGGAGCTAATAAAGAAAGAAAAAGTAACTCCAAAGAATCAAGATAATGAGGTCGAAGAAGAGGAAGAAGAAGATTTTGTTATTGATGAAGAAGAGGAACTAATAAAGAAAGAAAAAGTAACTCCAAAGATTCAAGAGCATAAAATCGAAGAAGAAGAGGAAGAAGATTTTGCAATTGACACTGAAGAAGAAAAAAGTCAACAAGAAATTCCAATTGATAATCAGCTTCAATCTCAAGAAGAAGAGGATATTCCAATTGATAATTCAATTAATGAAGAAGAAGAAAAGCCAGAGAAAATGATTCCTTTATCCTCAAATGCAATGGATTTAATGGAACTCGAAGAAGAAGAGGAAGAACATGATAATTCAAAGGCAGTATTGATTCCTTCAAAGCAACATTCGTCATCGTCTAATGAAGCTGAGGAAGAATCCCTTGATGATTTCGCTAAGTTTATGAAAGGTGAAGCTCCTCAAGAAAAACAGAATGAAGAAGAAGAGGAAAAAGTCGAAATCCCTCAAATTAAACTACCTAATTTCACTGGCTTATTTACACAGTTCCTTCCAAACGAAGTAAGTTGGATGATCATTGATACTTTATATCTAATGGACACAAGAATTCTTGGATTTGATGAAACTGAAGAAACAGAAGAAGAAACTTCTAACGAGGAATTAGAAAAGTCAAATGAAGAGGAAGAAGAAAATTATGGAGCAGAAATAGAAGAAAGGAATATTGATGAAAATGAATATAATTCAGAAGAAGAAAATAATGATGAATCTAAAATCAATGTTCCATTTATTGAAATGCCAGGATTGGATGAATGGTTGACAAGAACTTATTCATCATTAGTTGCTCGTTTTGTTCCAAGAGTTTTCTGGGATTTGCAGCCACAATATCCATTAGAGATTAATGATGAAGAGATTTTGGATACAAATGATGTAATGAGGTGGATGTCTCAATCAATGAACAATTCCATTTCTAACATAGTTAAACTGGCTCAAGTTAATATAATAATGAATTTAAACATTAATCCAATAGACAAAGAAGATTTAGCTTTCTTAAATGATGAAGAAGAGGAAGAGAAAACAGATAAAGAATATTCTTCCGAATATAATTCTCAAGAAGATCAAGAACCAAAAGAAGAAGAATCAGGTGATGAATATAACGATTATTCTTATATTCAAACGGAATCTCCAAAGAATACAATCAAAAGCAACGAAGAAGAATCAAAATCAAGTGAAAATAAGAAGAAAGTTACGTTCGATTTCGACACAAAAACATTCGAAGAAGAATTGCCTGACGAATGTAACCATTTCACTATTACATTGGACGAAAGTTTCGTAAGAGATGTTGAAGAACCAATGATAATTATGCAGAATTTATTAGAAGGAACAAATCGTTATTCATTCTTAGGATCTAATTCTGAAACTTTGATAACTACAACTACAGATAAATCAAGTGAAAAAGAAGAAGAAAAAATTGAAATTCCAGAGAGTTTCATTCTTTCTTTAGACGCAACTATTATTTCTATTGTTAATGACTCGATACAAAGTCCATTATCAATATTATCTTTCCAAGCTTTGACAAATGAACAGGAAGATAGATTAGCAAATCCAGAATTACCGACTATAACTGCAGAACCAAACTCGGATAGTGATGAGATTGTAATTAGGAATCAAAGCCCTGAAGATAAACCAAAAGTTTCCTCGGACCAACTCAATCTGCCTCCGAAATTTTTTCGTCAAGAAAAAGAATTCAGAGCAGAAAGATTTTTTCGTGGTGGAGTGGTTCCGGAAATTCGTGGCACTTCTTCAAATGCTTATTCTCCTAAAGTTTGTGTCCCGATTCGACTCGGACAAGGACTAACAATCTCAAAACCAATCGAGGCCGGAAATGACATCAAAACATCTGATTTTAATACTTCTACAACTTCAGAAAATCAGAAAGTTAAAATTGAAAAACCAAAGAAAAGAAGTCCAAAGAAAAAGAAAGAAAACAAAAAAGATAAAGCTGAAGAACAAGTTGTTAGTGAAAAAGTTATATCTGATTTTGATGATAACAGCAAACCTGTTTTAATATCTTCTGCTTCTTTACCAAAACCTCCTTCTCTTCCTGATATCAAAAATGAAGAAAAACCAAGTCATAATTTCGAATTTCCTCAAAAATTTTTTGATTTCTTACCTCAAATCATTAATGATGCAGTCAATTCATCATTAGATAGACATCTTAACATCGTCTACGTTCCATTATTTATTGAGAATTCCAACAACAAAAAACAAAATGATTCTCTTCCTTTATTGAACAAAAGAAATGAAACAACAAATGATGAAACAATTCCTTTGCTCAGTAAAAAGAATAATGATACTAATGATGACATTCCTTTATTAAGTAAGAGAAACAATGAAACAACAATTGAAGGAACCATTCCTTTATTAAGTAAAAAGAATAATGATACAAATGATGATATTCCATTACTCAGTAAAAGGAATATCGAAACAAATGATTCTATTCCTTTATTAAGTAAAAGAAATGATACTAATGATGATATTCCATTATTGAGTAAGAGAAATGATGAAACAAACGATGAATCAATTCCTTTACTCAGCAAAAAGAATAATAATTATGAATCAATTCCTTTATTAAGTAAAAGAAATGATTACACAAATGAATCAATACCTTTACTTAGTAAACGAAATCCGGATGATGATATACCTTTATTAAGTAAGAGAAGAGATATTACAGATGATGAATCAATTCCTTTACTCAGCAAAAGAACCGAAAAACCTTTATTTGATGTAACTAACATCTCAAAGAAGTTTATACAAAATCAACTTGATAACTCTTTGAAAGCATCAATTAATGATGCAGTTTCACGAAGCATTCCTTATCCTATTATGACAAATGACATTTCACAAAGTTCTAAACCAAATTACGTTCAAATGGCAACCAAAAAAGTTGGAAATGAACTTGATAAATCATTAAATGAAAGTATTAATTCAACTCTCAACATGATCATGAAGCAAATAGATTTCGGACTAGCAGAAAAGATAGAAAAACCAAGCTTAATTGAAAAATCATTGAATGAAGCACTCACATCTGCTGTTAACCAATCTGTTATAAATTCAATATACCAAATTTGTTTTGTTTAAAAATTATGATATAGTTATATTAGAATTTTACATTTTTTAAGCCATGAGTAATAATGAAGGTGAATGTTTTTATTTCCTAAAGAGAAACAAGTTAATTTAATAAAATGAAATTTTACCAAAGGATATAAAAAGGGAAAATAGTATTAACTGATTATAAACACTGAGCTTTTATTGTTGTTATTGTGGTGACTTTCATTTTATTGGAATATGAAAAATTAGAAAAGAAAAAGAAAAATTTAGGGGCAGGCCGGAATCGAACCGACTACTCAGGGATCTGCAATCCCTTGCTCTACCGGTGAGCTACTACCCCTTCACATTAGTTTTCTTTTTTAGTGTTTTACGATATAATATTACTTCTTGAAATTCAATTTATAATTCACTTAACATTTCGCAACTCAGAATAGGATGCATTTCAAAGAAAAATCAAAATATCGCATAATTAACTAATAGAAAAACAGTTTTACAAGTCAATTGGCTTTTCTTCAACTAAATCAAGCATACCTTTTTCTAAATCAACACGTAATTTGTTAAACTGGCCAGAAGAATTAATACCGTTGATGGTATAACCGGCAGCGTCGAAGCAGCAAGTTAAATCTACTCCTTTTGGCAATTCTAAAGAATACTTAGACCTAATAGTAGCTCTCTTCGGATCAGGGATTCTCTGTACTTGGAATACATGTATTGTTCCGCGACTTGAAGTCATCAAGAAATAATTTGACATATTATCAAATACAAGACCAGTGATTTTAGCAGCAAATGTACCTCTCTTGTATTTAGAAACGAATTGCTTTTTGTCAAATGACCACAAGTTGATAGATCTGCCACTATCAATAACAATCGCGAGGAATTCTGCATGTCTATCAAAAGCAGCATAAGTAACTTCTGAAGCAGGGATATTTATTGTTCCTAATATGTAAGCTGGGTCGTGGAAGTCACAAACGTTTAAGGATTTTCCATCTGCTGAAGGCAATGTAATTAACGACAAGTTAGTAGTTTGCACAATTGAAATCTGATCTTTTGTACCTGTTGAATTTACTAGGTTGAAGATTTGTTCGAAATTGGATGTATTGTAGAATGTAATGTATTGTTCTTGGACAACAACCAATATATCTGTTGTGAAAAAGATACCTATGACATTTGAAGTGTGTTCAATCGTTTTAATTATTTCATTCGTTTCGATATTCCATAAAAATACTGAAGATTTAGCAAATTTTGGATCAGAACCATCACCTGATAAAACAACAATATTTGAATCACTTAATATAGCAATATGCTCAAATCCTCCTGGACCATGATATAATATCAGTCCATTTGTATAATCATAAAGAGAAAATCCTTTCTTTGTAGTTACGGCAATTTTCTCGATAACCTGATCAAAGGTTACTTGCCGAATTAAAGTTGTCATTCGGATTTGTCACTTTTACTTGTAAAAACATCCAAAACTCGTGATTTGATGATCAAAAGCAACATTTATCCATTTTATCAACAAGTATACATTTCCATTAAGGAAGTCAATTTGGAAAATTGTTTTCATTTTAGGAGAATATAATTTTCCTTTTGAAAAATTTAAAAAGTGAGACGCGCAGGATTCGAACTTTTTTAAAAGTTGATTTAAATATATTCTAGTGTGGATTCTAAGGATAATATCATATTTAAAATAAGAATATACTAGTTTAGGTGGTATTAATTTTTTCGATAAATTTGAGAGTATGTACGTTTAGGGCATGAAAAGTGTCAATTCGCTCAGCGAAAGCTGAGCTAGCTTCGTTCTCGAAAGAATAAGGAAGGAGTGAAGGAGAATGATACAGAAGTTGACATATTCATATCATTTCAACAAATTTTGATCAAATTGAAATTCAATAAAATTCAATTCAATTCATATCCTTCAGTCAGTACATTGATATCCTTCTGCATCACAATGATAACTCGGGCATCAATAGTTCTACAACTAACTCAGAAAAAACAAGATTATTACTTCCTGCTTACAGCTTTTAAAAAGTTTCGATGATAAAAATCACTCTACTCTCGTTTATCGACATATGGTGATAGTAGGTAAACATATTCTTATCGATATTAATAAAAATATTTGTACGAAAATCTTATCCAATTAGAGAGTTATTCATAAAGTATATGATAATTATAATTACTTTATCATTGTTTTATCTTTGAATAAACAATTTAATTTAAATTGCATAATATTTTTTGGTTGAAAGACAGGAAACTTAGTTGAGTTTGTATTATTTTTATCGTTTAATTCATCGTATCAGTGAGTGATCCAGATATTTAAGATATTTAGAAAAAAAATTATTAATTTGATTAACAAATTTTAATCAAAATAGCAAAAATCTATTTGATAGCTGTAAACAAACAATAATTTTTATTTCAAGCAAAATCACTTATTTTCATCTAAACGTATAAAATTGTCAATTTTATGAAAATAAATTGAAAATCTCATGAAATGTAAAGGAGAGTAATATTTTTCAATTTTCTTTTTTCTTTGTCTCAAATATTTTCTGTTGGGAATTTTCTTGTTATCAAAATATAAATTTTAATATTTGTTTATTTCATTACATACAATAAAATTTTAAAAACTCTATTTCTTCTCAAGAAAATTTTTTCCTTCATATGAAGAAACATTTTGTTCTCCATTTGATGCTGAGTCTAAATCTCGATTTTTGAATTTTCTTCTTTCCAAATTTCTTTTTTCCAAATTAGAAGTTTAATTCAAATTTTCAATAGTTTATATATTTTCTCAAACCGTCTCAGATTTTCTCACTTTTTAGGGATTTTCTCTCAAAATATACAAAAATAGTAATATCAATATATATATCTAATATACTTTAAAACCATCGTGATAAAATTCAAAAACGAAGAGTTCTTCTCTCCAAATTTTTTTCAAAATCAAAAAAATGAGATAAACAAATACGTTTGGAAAATTCATTTTTAGCATTTTAGGAATTTTCTCACTTTTCTTCCAAATTGACATCCTTATTTCCATTATATAAATAAGTAGTATATGTGGAAGGGTTTTGTGACTTTTTTTGTTGCATCTATATATAGATGAAGGTATATTTTCACATCTTCTATACATAGATGATATAAAATTTATTCTTACGTTTTTGAATAAATCAAGATTTAAAAAATTTTCAAAATTGTAAGACATTTACACTCAGCCCATACATAATGAAATAAAAAATAAAAAAATAAACTTTAAAAATTCATGTCTTACATTTTTGAATAATTTATTTTTAATTCGTATGAAATGAGCGTCAAGACTAACGACGTGAAAACATTAGGATTCACAAACGAGGAAATAAAGGATATATTAGAGGAAAAAAAAAAAAAAAAAAAAAAAAAAAAAAAAAAAAAAAAAAAAAAAAAAAAAAAAAAAAAAAAAAAAAAAGGGAGTGGGGCTTCCAGGCACTTCGTGCCTTCTAGCCCTGAGGATGAATGAGTATAATGAAGTTTTTTTTTCTTGGGGGATGGCTTCCAGGCACTTCGTGCCTTCTAGCCCCCGAAGATGTTTTGTCAAGACTTCTTCGTAAATGTTTTGTCAAGACTTCTTCGTAAATGTTTTGTCAAGACTTCTTCGTAAATGTTTTGTCAAGACTTCTTCGTAAATGTTTTGTCAAGACTTCTTCGTAAATGTTTTGTCAAGACTTCTTCGTAAATGTTTTGTCAAGACTTCTTCGTAAATGTTTTGTCAAGATTTCATCGTAAATGTTTTGTCAAGACTTCTTCGTAAATGTTTTGTCAAGACTTCTTCGTAAAATCAGACAAAAATATATTTTAGGGTAGAAGGTTAGATATAACCTCTTTTCTAACCTCTTTTCTACCCTCTTGAATTTGTCAAGATTTCTTCGTAAATGTTTTGTCACTTTTCTGTCACTTTTCAGGAAAAAAACATTTTTATTGTATATAAAATGAATTTTACAAAACCACCGTTACCCTTCTTTGGAAATAAGAGTAGATGTAAAGATATTCTATTGAGAGAACTTAAGAAACTACCGAATGGTCTAACATTTGTAGATTTGTTCGGTGGAAGTTTCTATATATCCCATCTGTGCCATACTGTATTCCCAGACTCAAAGATTATATGCAATGACTTCGACAACTATATGGACCGTCTCAAACATATACCAGACACAAACAATATATTGAAAGAGTTAAAAGAAAAGATACCTATAGGTAAGATGGAACGTATACCATTAGATAAGAAAAATACTGTCAGAGAGGTTTTGAAAAAGGCAGAGTATATTGACTGGGATAGTATATCTGCTAGACTATTATATAGTGGTGCTATAAGAGTTCATGACATTGAAACACTTATGTCAAAAGTTTTATATCTTAACTATACAAATGTTTTCAAAGAGAACATAGAAAAATATATTGAGGGTATAGAGTTTGTGAGATGTCATTGGACAGAGTTGTATGAAAAATATAAAGACAAGGAAAATGTTTTCTTTATAGTGGACCCGCCGTTCTATAACACATGGGATTTTCAATACCAAGTAGACTGGACTTTGAGAGACTCTTTAGAAACTTTAGACGTTTTACATAACCATCCATGCTTTTACTTTACATCCGATAAAAGTGGTTTGGAAAGTGTCATGAGATGGTTAGAGGACATACATGACTATGATTTTAGATATGACAAGATAGAATATGAGAGAGGTCCTATAAACCGGAGAAAGTGTCATAACAAAGAAATTTTACTAGTAAGTAAATGTGGTTTGAAATAGGACTACTTGTTTTAGGTTTTTTCCATTGTGTCATTTATTTCTTTGACGTGGCAGAAAAATACAGAGAATATGAAGATGAACCAATGCCTGCAAATGTTCAGTATATGTACTCGTAAGAGATATTTTTATCTAATATTAAATGGACGCACAGAACTTAGCGAATGCACAGCAACCTGGACAACCAAACCCAGAGAATATTCCAAATGAAGTTAGAATACAAACTGCAATGGCAAACTATGGTCAAGTGCCAACAGATGTACAAATGCAAACTGCCATGTCAAATGACGCTGCGTTAGGTTTGCCACCATGGTATGCAAATATGAGATGGAAAGAGTTTTATACAAACCCTGAAGTGGGATATAAACAACTCTATGCAGATGACGCGAACACAGGAGTTGACCCAGAGTATGTTTCTACCAGAGGAGAAATAGAATGTATGAGCTCCAGTTAAAAAATGCTATGGAACTCAGAAGGAAACGTAAGAGACTAGGTGGACATTAGATTTTTACATATAGTAAAATGGGTTTCTTCAGTAGTATTGGAAACTTCTTTCGAAATGTTGGAAGAGGTATATGGAATGGAATAAAAACCGTAGGAAGAGGAATTTGGAACGGAGTCAAAATATTGGTAAAAGAGTAGGTCAGTTTGTTGGTATTATACCTAAAGACCTGAACCAAAGAACAAGCTCCTGTTATACAACAGCCTGAACCTGCACCGCAGTCTAGTTGGCAACCAAATCCAACACCTCAACCGTATTAAAATTATATTTTTACCGTTCGATAGTAGTTGTATATGAGACTAAGTTCTAAGTAAAACGCATGGTATAATGGAACTATTCTCTTTCTTCCATCTGTAGTAAACCATACTTGAAAGTCTGAAATACTTCCACTCGGTGGTTCATATAGCTTTGTAGGTTTTTCGTAAAAGTCATTTGCCAAGCATAAAAAAGAGTTTTGTGCACCAGAAAATGAAGCATGAACGATAATAGCATCTGAGTCGAAAACATTTTCATATGTTCCATTAGGGTTTTCGACTTCATAAAAGTTCGGGTGTACTGGATATTCTGCAGGCTGATTTAACATCCTCAGAAACCTATACCATGCCAAGTTGTTATATTTTGTAGAAATATAAACGTCTTCTCCAAGGTCTTCTATTCTATTGATTTTAACAGTTGCATTTTTCCTGTCATATATAATATCGAGATGGTACTCTCCTTCGTCAATGTTGTACTGTTTTGCATATTCGAGATAGATATCGTTTATTTTTTCTTGAAAAGCTTGAAGAGTTGTTTCTAAGTTTACAAGCAAACTAACTTGTAAAAGTTTTCCCTGTTCAAATTTCTCATACGTACGTTTCTCTTTGTTATAGTATCGAACTTCAAAACCGACCGTAAATGGGAAACCATGTATGGCTTCTGAAATGAACTTCATTCTACGAAAGCCAATAGCTTTTGTGACGGATGGGTCTCTTAACCATCTCAATGGGTAGTCAAAACGATAGCCTTCATGCTTTACGGTCTCTGTCTCAAACTTTTGACCTACGTTAGTAAAAAGTTCATCTAATGGTTTAGTTGTAGCAACTCTTGAATTTTCTTTTTCTATTGAAAGCATATTTTATCTAGAATAAAAATGTCGAAAGAAACAGCGTCTATGAGAGAAATACA